AATCAAAACCACAATGAGGTTTCACCTTACCCCCATTAGACTGGCTTTCATAAAGAAATCAAAAAACAATGAACGCTGGCAAGGATGTGGGGAATCCACTGTTGGTGGGAATGTAAACTGGTGCAGCTACTGTGGAAGACAGTATGAAAATATCTCAGAAATCTCAGTGTAGACCTACCATATGACTCAGCCATCTCACTCCTAGGAATTAACACAAGGGACATAAAATCAGCATATGAAAGAGTTATCTGTATCCCCATGTTAACTGAGTTCAATTCACAATAGCTGAGATATGGAATCAACCAAAATGCCTGTCAACTGAACACTGGACAAAGAAATTATGGGATACATATGGAGAGTTAACAGTAATACTTGTTCTCAAAGATTTAGTTTGTTTTAGTGTATTAAGTGGAGGATATTCTTATGTCTCTTAAGTTTTAGTTATGCCTAACTGTCTAACTCCATTGCGTGTTTACTTGGGTGCTTTCCTTAATTAATGATTAAATTTGTTGTCAAGGTCTTACTTTCTTTTAATATATTAAGTGGAATCCTTAAGTGGATTATTATTAAGTGGATATTCTTATGTCTCAGAAGTTGAAGTTATGTCTAAGTGCTCCCAAAAGACGTCATCATTCTTGGATGCTTCTTTAAAGTTAATTTTCTCAAAAAAAGGAAGGAAGGAAGGAAGGAAGGACGGACGGACAGGGGGAGGGAGGGAAGGAATTAACTCTGAGATGCAATGGCTTTGAATAGCCCTTGTCTGGACTGTTGAGGAATAGTTTTGTTTTGTGTTTTGTTTTCTGTGCAAATTGTTGAACTCCTAGTATAGAATTGGCCTTCTGTATAAAGAGTTAATTGATATGTCTTAGTAGAGAGTTGGAATGCCGGGAAGATTTACTATATTCCTAATGTTGTACTTAAGAAATGCATGAAATCTGTATTTCTCAAATAAAAGGTTTCTTTGGAAAAAAATTTGTAAAATTCTCAATATGCTCATTTGTAAAAACATTTAAGACTAATATAGTTTTTAAAAACATTTCCTTGGGGCCAGTGCTGTGGAACAGCAGGTTAATGCCCTGGCCTGAAGCACTGACATCCCATATGGGTGCCAGTTCAAGTCCAGGCTGCTCCTCTTCCAATCCAGCTCTCTGCTATGGCCTGAGGAAGCAGTAGAAGATGGCCCAAGTGCTTGGGCCCCTGCACCCAAATGGGAGACCGGGAAGAAGCTCTTGGCTCCTGGCTTCGAATCGGTGCAGCTCTGGCCGTTGCTCCCAATTGGAGAGTAATCCATCAGATGGAAGACCGCTCTCTCTCTGCCTCTCCTCTCTCTGTGTAACACTGACTTTCAAATAAATAAATAAATCTATTTTTTTAATTTTTTGACAGGCAGAGTGGACAGTGAGAGAGAGAGATAGAGAGAAAGGTCTTCCTTTTGCCGTTGGTTCACCCTCCAATGGCCGCCGCGGCCAGCGCACTGTGGCCGGCACACCGTGCTGATCCGATGGCAGGAGCCAGGTGCTTCTCCTGGTCTCCCATGGGGTGCAGGGCCCAAGCACTTGGGCCATCCTCCACTGCACTCCCTGGCCACAGCAGAGGGCTGGCCTGGAAGGGGGGCAACCGGGACAGAATCTGGCGCCCTGACCGGGAATAGAACCCAGGGTGCCGGCGCCACAGGTGGAGGATTAGCCTAGTGAGCCACGGCGCCGGCCATAAATAAATCTAAAAAAAAATTTTCCTTAAAATTTAAAAACAAGAAAAAATAAGACAAAAGTCCAAAAGAAACTGCCAAGAGGCATCATAAAGTAGCAGCCATTCTGGTAAACATACCACAAAGCAGAGTTTGATTCTTGGCTTTGCTGACTCAGAAGCTGGTGATTATTGGGGGGGGGGGGGGGGGTGAAGGCACACCAGCAAAAACACAAGAGACTAGTTCATAAGCCAAAATGCCAAGGTACTAAATTATTTATAATGATACATAAACACTGCAGAAAGATTTAACTTGTGTCCCACCTGGTATGAACATTCTGTTTTTGTAGAACTACAACTATAGTCCTAAAGTACTTTCACCTCATCAAAACAGAACTAGAAAAATCCACTGTTTATTGTGAAAACACCATAAAAGTCTAATAATTCCAACTTCACAACAGTGATGAACTTGTCAAAATAGCAAAATTAAGTCCTATGCCAAACACTTTCTCCCTTGGATGACTTTTAGAAAGACACCACCAACTGTTTCATCCCTAATATTCACCTTTCTTTGTTCCATGTTACAAATTCCCTTCTGTCTAAGATTTGAGCTCTTTCTGTTCATTATATCCCATGAATCTTGTTTTCTCTACATATCTCCTAAATACCTTTTGTATGCTTCTCACCTCTCTAACTGTTGTTTTTATAATGAACTTTCAAGACTTGAAGTACCTGGCTAAATTTTACAGATACCATCTGAAGTAGGCTTGTGCTTTTAAGTTTGTTTTTCCACTGATTCTAAGTGATTTTGTACTTAGATATTTATTCTTTGGTTAAGTTTCTCTTTTCATCAATACATTCATTATTAAATTATTGACTATATCAGGGGAATAATCTTTCAGCACAAAAAACTGAAATGGTCTCTCAGTACATGACTTTCATATAATAGTAAACAATGTTCAGTAAAACCACAGGTTTATTTTTTGCTCCCTTTAGTTTTCCAATTTAAGAATTAATTCAAGTTGTACTTTCACAGATATAAAGTTAATTTTACAAAGAGTAAGTCAGCCACTTAAGCAATACATGAGAACATATTGGCAAAAAGCTGACCATGGAGTTCAAATTTTGCCTCTATTATTTCTACCACTAACACAAATAATAAATAGGTAAACTCTCTCAGCTTTAATAAGATCCCAAATAAAGGAGAGCTATTATCAAGACACTATCATCTGATAAGAATGTTATCTAGATTAATCAAACATTTTTACTTTCATTTCACTGTTATATACATCTAGTATATAATGTCCCTTCCAAATTCCTTCTGGCAGTTTCATTAGGCGTTTAACCTCATAAAATATGTCTTAGTAAATGAAGATAACTAGCTTTCCACAGTTCATATAGTCATTATTACTACATTATGAAGTAGAAATGCTATATTTATGTTTTCAGCCTCTTCTTTCTATACTGTTCTTTCACTTTCCCTATGTCAAGCATCTTTGTCCTATCAAAACTTTCTACCAGGTAAGGATCTGATACTCATTTACACCTGTGAATTATGACTAAGCCATTCATTACTACCTTCCTGGGGAGAGAGGGGGAGGGAGTCTATTCTCAACAAAAATTAAACCCTTGGTTAAGAAAGTGAGAAAAATGTTTTTATAGCAGTAAAGTAAATGAAGCTCTCTGAAACCATACCAAATCCTTTTAAACTTAAGAATATTATGTTCTTCACATTGTTCTTTACTCATTTGTAGTTTTGTTTGGTTTTCTTTTATGCCTGTAGCAAGTACAGCTGGCTGTGTAACAAATAAACACATTAATTAGCAAAAATCTGTTTGTTGAATTTTTTTTATGTCGGATTTTTCTCCCTTGGCTAACTAATTGCTGTCATCAGTGAGTATTTAGGTTATCCAACTTTTGCTATAAAAAGAACTCAACAGAAATAACTGGCTAAACCTGAATTAAATTTTTTAAAATAGGGAAGAAAATTTGAAAAATGAACATAATTACGTAAAGAAAAAAATTTGTAAAACCACTTTAAAGCTTGCCAAAATCAGTAATATATGAAAATCAGTGGCCAGGGAATATTAATTTTAAACCAAATCGTTCTTGAGTTTTCAAGGCAAGCAATTTGACTAGGTCACCATTTTTGTTTTCCAGAATTTGGCAGATCTGCACATAATCTTTACTATATTGAAATTAGACTTATCCTCTTGAAAGGACACTAAGTCAATATCTATGTCATATCTTACTTCATATCTTACTGTCTTCTCCATGAAAGCTTCCCTGACTCCTCCAGACATTTATAGGTACCAATTCCCATGTGCAGTTTTCTTGTACATATTTCCATAGTATATTTTCTCATAATGTAAATTATCAATTTATATCCTTGTCTCTTCCACTAAACTATAAGTTCCTTAAAAATAAAAACCATGTCTTAACCATTTTTATATTCTCCGCCTTATTCTTAACAGTGAGATATTAATAAAACACCTAGAAAAAGACCTTAGAATCTCATGCTGACAATTCAGTACTATTAAAAGTATCAAGTTAAGTTTGAGCCATTTATGAAAAATATGAAAGGGAAAAAAGCATGTCTCTTCACCCTAAGATTAAAAGTTAATGGGGAGGTCCAGGCAAGAATATAAGTAATTATTAAAACAGAATAAATCATATAACAGATGTACAAAAGAGGTGCTATAAGCACACAGTATAGAGAGAAGCTAGCTCAGACTGGGAAAGAGGGATCAAGGAAGGTTTCCTGGAAGAGGCAGTATTCCAAATAGGTCTTTAAAAAATGATCAGAGTTTTAACAGGAAGAAATGGTAAGAAAATACAAAGAACTGATTAAAATCCAGTTTGGCACTCAAATACAATATGTGAAGAGGAATATTGAAAAAAAAAAGTGGAAAAACAGATTAGAATCAGTTCTTAGACATGATAAATTTAGGAATTTGGAGAAATCAATTTACAAATATTTGAATGAAAAAAATTAGATTTCTTCTTGGTGCTCCAAACTATTTCCTAAAAATCACTGAATTTATTACTAAAAAAAGTTTAGAGCCCCCAAAATACCAATACAATAAATGTCTTTTCCACACATGATTTTCATTAGAGTAATCAGATATGAGATGGGATTTTGGAGAACACAATTAGAGACAATTTTCAGAGTAAGTACTTTCAACATATCCAAAATGTCCCATATAAAATGACTCTTCATTCTGTCTTCATTTGCACCAAAAGCATGTTTCAAAAATCTGAAAATGTCTCCTCCAAGACCCAAAACCATAGAAAAATTAAGAAAATATACTTACTGTAACACAACCTTTAGCAGTTCCTTTTATTTTACCAATATAAACAGAAGTAAATATAAAATCCAGTTGTAGAGTCATCTTATTACTAGGCACAATACAGGAAATGTTTTCCATGACAGAATTGTATGGACATAATTCAGATGATGTCTAAAAGGGAATAAATTATAAAATGCATATAACCCTGTATATTTTATAAATGTGTAAATGTTTTTCAAAGTCTCTTTATATTACCATCAGTGACTTTATAAAGATTTCTATACTGTTCTTACCAGAAGAAATAGCTACTTGCACTTCTTACATTTCTTTTTCTGAAAAAATAGACATAATTACTTTAAAGCTCAATTCCAAATTTAATTCTACGGATCTAAGCTGCTATGATTCAAAGCCATGGTTTCCTATTCAATATTCCCTAATAAGCATTATTTACTTTTAAATCAACAAAAATGCTTTAGTTTATTTTTTTAACTTTTATTTAATAAATATAAATTTCCAAAGTACAGCTTATGGATTACAATGGCTTCCTCTCCCCAATAATTTCCCTCCCACCCGCAACCCTCCTATCTCCCGCTCCCTCTCCCATTCCATTCACATCAAGATTCATTTTCGATTCTCTTTATTTACAGAAGATCAGTTTAGTATATATTAAGCAAAGATTTCAACAGTTCGCACCCACATAGAAACACAAAGTGAAAAATACTGTTTGAGTACTAGTTATAGCATTAAATCACAATGTACAGCACATTAAGGACAGAGATCCTACATGGGGAGTAAGTGCACAGTGTCTCCTGTTGTTGACTTAACAAATTGACACTCTTGTTTATGGCATCAGTAATCTCCCTAGGCTCTTGTCATGAGTTGCCAAAGGCTATGGAAGCCTCTTGAGTTCACCAACTCTGATTTTATTTAGACAAGGCCATAGTCAAAGTGGAAGTTCTCTCCTCCCTTCAGAGAAAGGTACCTCCTTCTTTGATGGCCCCGTTCTTTTCACTGGGATCTCACTCGCACAGATCTTTCATTTAGGTCTTCTCTTTTTTTTTTTCCAGAGTGTCTTGGCTTTCCATGCCTAAAATACTCTCATGGGCTCTTCAGCCAGATCCGAATGCCTTAAGGGCTGATTCTGAGGCCAGAGTGCTGTTTAGGACATCTGCCATTTTAGGAGTCTGCTGTGTATCCTGCTTCCCATGTTGGGTGGTTCTCTCCCTTTTTTTTATTCTATTGGTTAGTATTAGCAGACATTAGTCTTGTTTATGTGATCCCTTTGACTCTTAGTCCTGTAATTATGATCAATTGTGAACAGAACAAAAATACTTTAGTTTAAAATGAGTTTTTATGTCTTTTAATTTCTACTACCACCTTATTATAAGTTTTTTTTTCCTTCCCATTCCATAAATAAAGCAAATATATATTTAGATTTGTTAAATGCATTGCTCAAGGTTATGCAGTTCCTAAGAAGCAAAACTAAGAGTCTAACCTGAGAATCTATTTCCAGGTCAAATGTTACTTGAAATACACAAAATTGCTTACATTAACCAAGATAATGATATGGCTTTTGCAATTTTAATGAGCAATGAAGGGAAATAAGTGCCTAATAATCAACTCTATATGCTTCATAACAGACATTTTATTTAAAGACAGATAAGAAGAAATGGCCCCAAAAAATGAATCACTCTCACAGAAACAGCTACACAACTCTTCTTTCAAATTGTAATGTAACTGGACAATATTAGCAGTAGCTGCATCCCAGTCTCTTCTGATTTTTAACTGCTTTCAGATTTTTTGCCTAGCCTCTCCATATTTTTCTTCTTTAACCCTACTATCAATCACAAATGACCACTAAAGCAATTTTATGCATATATACTCACTCCTCTCCTACCTCTAACAATTTTGATAAATTACCTAAAACATATATGATGCTCATTAATTCTAATTCATTCTAAGATGTCATTTAGCTTAACAGAATTTCTTTATCATTCTCTTATTTCTTACTATACATTCTAACTCTCTAAATTAAAAAAAAAGAATGAATTCAACTGCAGGTGATTTCAATCAGCCAAATAACTGTATTCTTGTTTTTAGTGATAAAATAAGGAGTTGGTTTAGAATAATTTCTTATTGGACCTCACATTTTCATAAAAGACTGCCTTCTAAAAATATCCAATCCATGTTTCTCATAATTTCATTTGAAACTGGAAACAAGGGAGCGTGTGGAGACATGATATTCTGTCTTACATGCCTTGGTAGGTCTCTACAGTCTTTAAGTATTTACTCTTGGTTGTGATCACAAATTCTATAAATACTATAAAAGAAGTATTTTCTTTAAAAAAAATTATTTGAAAAGTAGAGTTACAAAGAGAGAATGGGAGACACACACACACACACACACACACACACACACACAGAGAGAGAGAATATCTTCCATTCACTGGTTCACTCCCCAAATGGCCATAATGGACAGGGCAGGGCCAGGCCAAAGCAAGAACCCTGGAACTCCACCCGAGTCTCGCACAAGGGTGGGAAGGGCCCAAACACTTGGGCCATCTGCTGCTCTCCTAGGAGAGTAGGGAGCTGGATGGGAAGCAGAGGAGCTGGCCCTCAAACCAGCACTCTGATATGGGATTCCAGTATTGCAAGGGGCAGCTACACCCACAACACTACAACATCAGCCCTGAGAAATTATTTTCTTATAATCATTTCTTATTGCCATGTCAGTTTATATGATATCAAGATAACTAAAAAATCTACAAATTTAAACTCATTATCAACAACACTTCTAATTATAAATATACCTAAGTGATCAAGAAAACTACTGATGCAAACTGACAAGAATAGTTACATTTCAGTGAAAATTCAGAATTCAATTGCTGAGGTGGTTTCAGTGTGGAGTACCAAATACAAAAGAAATGTCCATGAAACAATAAACATACCACCAAACTGTTTTCATAAATCTCACCAAACTCTTCCATCACAGTCTACAAAATAACAGTCTGCCATTGTTCAAAAACAAACCAACAGAAGTTCTCCATAATTTTGCACTAGTAATCACTTATAATCATTTCCTAAAAATAGGATAATCAGAGGCTGATAACAAACACTTAAATGATTTGAACCTTCCTCTTTAAAGGGTTATGTTAAAAATATGATTATTGTTTACTGATATTAAACTTAACATACTTCCATTTATTAATTTCAGTAAAAAAGAAAAGACAAAGGATTTACCAGCTTGATAGGTTTCTGATGCTATTATAAATGTGTTCACACAAGGGTACTTCAAAAAGCTCATGGAATTTGGAATTAAAAGATGCTTATTTTGGAGCAAAATAATTTTGAAATCCATGCATAGTTCTTTCATAATACACATTCTCCATTAACTTTTTGATGATCACCCTCATATGTTATTTCATTTAATACTCAAAATAATCCTTGGGGGAGGTGCTATTATCCTCATGCAACATATGAGGAAACTCAGGCTTAAAGATGTCGTGACTCGTCCAAATGACAGCCAGGATTTAACATAGGTCTGTGTATCTCCAAAAGCTATGTCCTTTCTTCTATATCCTACCATCTTAAAGTACATGGGGAGAAAGAATAATTCCAAGTAGCAATGGTACTCACAAGACCAGAAAACATAAATACCAGAAACTGTGTATATAAAATATTCTGGCAGAACAGTTAATTGCTCATTAAGAACCACTAGGGGGGAAAAAAGAGATTCAAGTCATAAAATATTTAAGCTGAAAAAATAGAAATGATGGGGCCAGTGCTGTGGCTTAGTGGGTAAAGCCATCTGCCGTGAGTGCTGGTTTGAGTTCCAGCTGCCAGCTGCTCCACTTCCGATCCAACTTCCTGCTAATGCACCTGGGAAAGCAGCAGAGGATGGCCCAAGTGCTTGGGCCCCTACATCCAGGTGGGAGACCCAAAAGAAGTTCTGGCTCCTAGCTTTGGATCGGCCCAGCTCCAGCTGTTAATGGCCATTTGGGGAGTGAACCAGTGGATGGAAGATCTCTCTCTTTCTCTCTCTCTCTCTCTCTCTCCCTCTCCCTCTCTCCCCCTCCCTCTCTGTAACTGTGACTTTCAAATAAATAACCTTTTAAAATATATACATATAAATGACTAGGGAAAAATGATATAAGCTTTTCACTTCAAAATAAAACAATTACATACTTCACTCAAGCTAACAAGAAAATTGTCTCAAAATTCAATATAAAAAAATACATAATTTGTATTACAATATTTTGCTTCATTAAGCAATTAACAAGTCATCTTACAAATAATATATATTTCACTGTTAATATGTGAGAAGGAAGAAATAAATTACCTGTATAGATTCACATGTAACCAATGGTAGTTCTGATAATGTTGACTCAGACGTGCTCTCACTTTCATTAGTGATCCCATGGTCTTGTCTAGGTTGTAATTTAAGAATTTCAGAACTCTTGTGTTCAATGGGTCCTTCTTCATCACTGGAAACAACAACTGAAAGGGAAAAATGTACATTAAATATGTCACAACCATCACATATCAAAAAGGGAAACTTCTAGTTAATTTAATATAGACTTAATAATCCCATTAAGCGGGCCGGCGCCGCGACTCACTAGGCTAATCCTCCGCCTTGCGGCACCGGCACACCGGGTTCTAGTCCCGGTTGGGGCGCCGGATTCTGTCCCGGTTGCCCCTCTTCCAGGCCAGCTCTCTGCTGTGGCCAGGGAGTGCAGTGGAGGATGGCCCAGGTGCTTGGGCCCTGCACCCCATGGGAGACCAGGAAAAGCACCTGGCTCCTGGCTCCTGCCATTGGATCAGCGCGGTGCGCCGGCCCCAGCGGCCATTGGAGGGTAAACCAACGGCAAAGGAAGACCTTTCTCTCTGTCTCTCTCTCACTGTCCACTCTGCCTGTCAAAAAAAAAAATAATAATAATAATCCCATTAAGCTTAATCATTTAAATATATTCAGCTTTAAAACTGGCTTCTTGGAGCCAGCACTGTGGTGTAGCAGGTAAAGCAGCCGCCTGTAGTGCTGGCATCCCATATGGGCGCCAGTTCAAGTCCCAGCTGCTCCATGTCCAATCCAGCTCTGCTATGGCTTGGGAAACCAGTGGAAGATGGCCCGAGTCCTTGGACCCCTGCACCCGCGTGGGAGAGCTGAAAGAAGCTCCTGGCTCCTGGCTTCAGATTGATGCAGCTCCAGCCATTGCAGCCAACTGGGGAGTGAACCAACAAACAGATGACCTCTCTCTCTCTCTCTCTCTCTCTCTCTCTCTCTGCCTCTCCTTCTCTCTGTAACTCCGACTTTCAAATAAATAAATCTTAAAAAAAAAAAAAAAAAACCAGGGCCAGCACCATGGCGCACTAAGTTATTCCTCCACCTGCGGCACCAGCATCCCATATAGATGCTGGGTTCTAGTCTCGGTTGCTCCTCCTCCAGTCCAGCTCTCTGCTGTGCCTGGGAAGGAGGATGGTCTGAGTCCTTGGGCCCCTGCACCCACATGGGAGACCAGGAAGAGACTCCTGGCTCCTGGCTTCAGATTGGCGTAGCTCCGGCCGTAGTGGCCATTTCTCTCTGTCTCTCTCTCTGTAACTCTACCTGTCAAATAAATAAATAAAATCCTTAAAAAAAAAACTACCTAAAAAATTACCTAATTTATAATAGCCCTATACAATGCTTTATATCACTGCTATTATCAACAGTTACCTGTAACCTTACCTTCTTGAGGATAAACATCTTTAAAAATGATTAAAGCCGTGAGGAGATCTTAGAACAAGTTTCAACTGTATATTGTGCCATCACCCTAAATTGCCCTTTAAACCCTATTAATTAGCTGGCTTTTGGACAAACAAATGGATGATCATGGGGAAATGTGGGAGACTATTCACTGCATTTCCTTTAGCATGTTTTCCCTATGACCTCACCAGCTACCCAAAAGGTTATTAAATCAAAATTAATGAGAATTAGCTGGTACTCAAACTCTCCATATTTCAATTTCATCAATCAAATGACAGTAATAATCATCCTTGGAGAACCTTTTTTAAAAACTATTAGTTGCTCTTCCTTTCCAACTTGGGCCCTACAAGATGGCTCCCACAAAGAAGGGTGGCGAGAAGAAGGGCCATACTGCCATCAATGAAGTCATGACCCGACATCAACATTCACAAATGCATCCATGGAGTGAGCTTCAAGAAGCATGCCCCTCTGGCACTCAAAAAGATCCAGAAGTTTGCCATGAAAGAGATGGGGACTCCCAGATGTGCACATTGATACCAGGCTCAACAAAACCATCTGGGCCAAAGGAATAAGGAACATCCCATACCACAACTGTGTGAGACTGTCAAAAAAATGTAATGAGGATGAAGATTCACCAAACAAGCTCTACACTTTGGTTACTTATAGATTTCTCACCACTTTCAAAAATCTTTAGACAGTCAATGTGGATTAGAACTGATTAAAATGTAAAACAATTCCCAACTTGACTCTCACTGGGATTAAACATGACAATAGGTCTGATCTGATTTCATCATCATTTAAAAAAAATCATCTATTATTTTTCACTTTATGTTTCTGTGTGGGAGCAAACTGTTGAAATACTTAAGGTATACTAAGCTGATCTTCTGTATATTAAGATAATCGAAAATGAATCTTGATGTGAATGGAAGGGGAGAGGGAGTGGGAAAGGGGAGGGTTGTGGGTGGGAGGGACGGTATGGGGGGGGAAGCCATTGTAACACATGAGTCGTACTTTGGAAATCTATATTCATTAAATAAAAGATAAAAAAAAAATGTAAAACATTTCTTCCTGTTTTGGTTTTCCTTTTCTAGTTGCTATTTAATGTGTGTTTTGTATTCAAAAATTCAAAAATAGTACCTGATTTATGAGATCATTTGAAAAACTTCCTAAACAAGGATCCCTGTGTTCCCCTCCCCAAACCCTACAGCTTGATTATTTGTACAGGGAGTGTCTAGCAGGTTTGAGATGGAAAGAATGATGCTGGTGCTTTTATTTGTGTGGTTCAATTAATTCTAAGACAAACTTTTTTTCCAGAAGACATAGATTTCAATTGCCATAGGCCTGTTTTCACATTTTAATAACCAAATGTATAACTGATTAAAAAAACTACTGAGTTCGATTATGTGTACTAATCTAAAAATAATCATATCTGCTTCCAAATACCTAAATTGGTATTCCAAGAGTCACAAAGAAATTTCCAAACCCTCAAGACTTTTTTTTCCCCAATAATTTACACAGTGATATTATAACCACTTATTGCTTTAGCAAAATTGTTCAGGGAAAAATTTAAGTAAAGCAGAGAACATCAAGTGTTTCTATAACCCTCCTATTACTTACTTGGTTCAGCAGAAATCAACGATTGGTTCCCTTCATCGTGTCCACTTGGAACAGAATTTTCTATTGTATTCAATTCATTCTCAATCTTTTCAATCAGGGAAGAAATACCCACAGAATCACTGGAAATAGAGTTCTCAAAAGATTCAGAGGTTGAACAGGCAGAAGCAGTTTTGGGAACAGTACTCAAAGCCAATTCCTGACTACTAAATGCAGACAGTTTAGTAAAATCATTTTCAATAGATTCAGGTGAAACTTCTTCAAGTAGTTTTCCATCTTGATGATAGTTTTCACTTGACTTGTCAAACTCCGCAGATACTGTTGAGTCATTTTCTGGTTCTTTCTGAACATAGATAAGTGCATACAAAAATTTAGCATTTTTCCAATTTGTTTAAAAGACTTTTATAAGGTTTAAACTCCTAACAAGTAATATAAAAGTAAAAATATTATGTCATTTCTATAACTGCATGGATAGAAAACTACATAAAGATATGGGTTTAATCTGTCTAATTTGAAGCCTAAACAACTGTTTAATGGATAATACTGGAAGATACTCATCTTTATAAGTGATTCAGATGGTCTCCCATGACCTAAGTCAATTTTAGAATGAAATTATCTTTTAAATAATAAATATTTTTATCTTGCAAAAGTAATAAGGGAATGTAATCAACCACTATAGTAACAATAGGAAACAGATTAAAATGTAACAGGATAATATTAATATATCAAACATTATCTTCAGTATCTCTAGTACTATGCAAATCATGTTTGCATTTATAATTTAAAGGCATTACAAGGTGCCTTATTTTGTGAATAATAAGAATCACAAAACTGTCTTCCCATGGCCTCATTCTATTGTTCATTCTATAATAAGTCTTTGAAATAGGAAATATATGTATTAAGTACAGTACTTTAATTATAACACATTCCCTCAATTCTAGATAAATAGAAGCTTAATTAATTCAGTAAGTACATTGCCACCAACAAAAGCAATCTGATAATTTTACAAAGCAAGTGAAAAAAATAAGCAAGAAGCTAGACTGCATAAATAGGATTTGGTTAAAAGTAGCAAAAAGACAAGTCTAAAATATATACACCAAACTATTAAGGAAAGAGTAGATTCAGAGAAGGAACAACTTTAAATTTTACCAAATCATATTAGATACTAGTTCTTATAACCCTTATTGTTGTCAGGAGTTGCATTTAAGTATGTTATAAATATAAATCTAGAAGAAAACCAAAAAAGAAAGACATCTAATAAAAGCTCAAAGCTAGGAGGAACATTATTCGTCCACAGTGAACTCATTTTTAACACAGTACAAAATTACTTCCTATGACATCTAAATACTTCTACTTACTGTTTGTTCTGCTGACTTATCCATAGAAGAAACAGAATTATGAGCATCAGGTAAATGACTTCTAAGCCTTTTCTTTGTCTTCCTGGAAATCAGAGTGGGTTCCATTTTTGAATCAGAATATGTAACATCCTTGTTTCTGCTCCCCTCTTCAAGACAATCACAACCTCTAATTGCACTGGTAAGGTCTTAAAAAACAAAAGAGGCATAAATATGGCCAAAAAGTTCAGGAAGAATCCCTTTTAGAGGTACTAAAGAAACATTGTCAAAATTGCTATACTACTTCCAAAGTTCATTAAAACAGAAGTCCACTGTTAAATTCTCATGCTGACACTGGATGAACATGTAGGAATATCATTTATTAATGCCTATATACACAAGTAAGTAGTGAAGGAAACACATAGTGTATTCTTTTTAAGAGAAACCAAAGAAGAGCAATGAAGCCATGTTGTTCCATTTGCTGTGAATGCTTTTGACTGTAAGACCAAAACAAAAACAGTTAATAAAATATGGAAAAATCATGTTTTAAAAAAGTCTTGATTTATTGTGATTTTTGTAAACCAGTTGTATCTTAAAATGTTACACACATACACATACTTTTAAATGGAAAGGAATTATAATTATAAAGTGTCGTGTGTTCTTTTAAAAGGAGTCAAAATATCTTTTCCCAGCAGTTGACTATGATATGAAATCAATTATAGAACTCTCAATCCAATTGAAAGTTTGTTTCATATTTTTAATAACCAAGACTGCCATTTAAAGACTCCAATAAAGCCACCATTCTACAGACAAGGAAATGCTTCCTTTCTTAAGTCAACAAAGTATCATTTTGAATACTATGCCAATCTGTTCTAAAAATACTTAGCATTTCAGTTATCAGATACATGTGCTATATAAAAAAAATGCCTTGCAAAAAGTTCTACCTAGGTAATTCAAAGTTATCTTGAATTATTTGGCTTTCTAAATCTATTATGCAAGTAGCAGCTCAAAGCTTATCAAAAAAGCTAATCACAAAGCAGCTTCCTTTCATTCACAACTGTTATAGTTTGTCCAATACTGATCGACGTTTTCTCTCCATTCAGTAAAAGTTCTTCAACACTACACACATTCTCTTAAAGTATTCTTGTTGTTACTCTAACTGCTTTGACTCATAATAACTGTTAGGACACCATGTCTATATTGTAGCTTAAAAGGAAGGCATTGAAACAGACTTGAAGTCAAAATCTCTGACAGCCAAATCTCTTTTAAGTTCCAAAGAAACTATTATACTTTCCCTAAGGAGGGAAATAGATTCTCCCCAAATCATCCACACAGTATTTAGAAAAACATATGAAATTTTATTTTTAATATAATAAACTGTTAAATTATTTAAATATGGGGAATGGCTTGTGGAGCAGGTGGTTAAGCCAGTGCTTGAGACACCAGCATCTCACATCTGAGCTCCAGTTCAATTCCCGGCCACTCTGCTTCCAATCCAGCTCCCTGCTAATGCACCTGGGAAAGCAGTGGATGACGGCCCAATTACTTGGGCTCCTGCTACTCACATGAGAGACAAAGGTGGAGTTTCTGATTCCTGGCTTCAGCCTGAACCTGCCCTGGACATTGTTGTGATTTGGGGAAAATGGAAAAGATCTCTGTCTCTCTCATTCTGCCTTTCTGTTAAGTAAGCTTGTGATTATAAAATAAAGTGAAAGTATGTCATTGCAAAAATTATAAGAAAGGAAGGAGGGAAGAAGGTGCGTGGCCAGGAGGGAGAGTAGCATAAGAAGTATCACTATGCTCTTAAGCCTGTATATATAAAAAACACTATATTTGTTCATATTATATAAAAAAAAATTTTAAAACTAAAATTAAATGTAATACATTTCCATTAAAGATGGACAAATAAAAATAGCTAAAACCTAGAATCAACCTAAATACCCATCAGTAGAAGACTGGATGAAGAAATTATGGGACACGTACTCTATAGAATACTATCCAGCAGTCAAAAACAATGAAATCCGGTCATTTGCAACAAAATGGAGGAATCTGGAACATATCATGCTAAGTGAAATAAGCCAGTCCCAAAGGGGCAAATATCATATGTTCTCCCTGATCGCTGACAACTAACTGAGCACCAAAAAGGAAACCTACTGAAGTGACATGGACACTATGAGAAACAGTGACTTGATCAGCCCTTGTCCTGACTGTTGATGTACAATGTAATACTTTATCCCTTTTAGTATTTTTTGTTCTAGTTAATACTATTGGTTGAACTCTGTAATTAACACACAATTATTCTTAGGTGTTTAAACTTAACTGAAAAGTGATCTCTGTTAAATATAAGAGTGGGAATAAGTGAGGGAGAAGATGTACAATTTGGGACAAGCTCAAGCTGACTTGCCCCAAATGCTAGAGTTAGAAACGTGCCTGGGGATTCCAACTCAGTCCCATCAAGGTGGCATGTACCAATGCCATCACACTAGTCCAGGTGATCAATTTCAGTTCACAATTGATCATACTGATAGGTCTAAGAGTCAAAGGGATCACATAAACAAGACAAGTGTCTGCTAATACTAACTGATAGAATAAAAAAGAGAGAAACCAATCCAACATGGGAAGCGGGATACACAACAGACTCATAGAATGGCAGATGTCCTAAACAGCACTCTGGCCTCAGAATCAGCCCTTAAGGAATTCAGATCTGGATGAAGAGCCCATGAGAGTATTTTAGGCATGGAAAGCCAAAACACTCTGGCAAAAAAAAAAAAAATCCTAAATGAAAGATCTCTGTGAGTGAGATCCCAGCGGAAAGACCAGGCCATCAAAGAAGGAGGTACCTTTCTCTGAAGGCAGGAGAGAACTCCTACTTTGACTATGACCTTGTCTAAATAAGATCAGAATTGGTGAACTCAAAAGGCAACTCATGACAAGAGCCTAGGGAGATTACTGACGCCATAAACAACAGTGTCAATTTGTTAAGTCAACAACAGGAGTCACTGTGCACTTACTCCTCATGTAGGATCTCTGTCCTTAATGTGTTGTACAATGTGAATTAATGCTATAACTAGTACTCAAACAGTATTTCACTCTTTATGTTTCTGTGTGGGTACAAAATGTTGAAATCTCTACTTAATATATACTAAATTGATCTCCTGTATATAAAGAGAATTGAAAAGGAATCTTGGACGGCGCTGTGGCTAACTAGGCTAATCCTCCGCCTTGCGGCACTGGCACACCAGGTTCTAGTCCCAGTCGGGGCGCCGGATTCTGTCCCGGTTGCCCCTCTTCCAGGCCAGCTCTCTGCTGTGGCCTGGGAGTGCAGTGAAGGATGGCTGAAGTCCTTGGGCCCTGCACCCCATGGGAGACCAGGAGAAGCACCTGGCTCCTGCCTTTGGATCAGCGCAGTGCGCCAGCTGCAGCGCACTGGCTTCAGCGGCCATTGGAGGGTGAACCAACGGCAAAGGAAGACCTTTCTCTCTGTCTCTCTCTCTCTCTCTCTCTCTCACTGTCCACTCTGCCTGTTAAAAAAGAAAAAAAGAAAAAAAAAAGAAAATAAATCTTTATGTGAATGGAAGGATGGAAGGGGAGAGGGAGTGGGAAAGGGGAGGGTTGCAGGTGGAAGGGAAATTATGGGGGTAAAAAGCTATTGTAATCCATAAGCTGTACTTTGGAAATTTATATTTATTAAATAAAAGTGGAAAAAATAAAATAAATCTTTAAAAAAAGTCATTACATCTTGAAGCTTATTTCATATTTTTTTTGAGAAAGCTAATTGACCTTAAAGAAGCACCCAAGAATGATACATCTTTTGCAAGTACTTTGACATAACTTCAACTATGAGACATAAGAATATCCTCCACTTAATATATTAAGAGAAAGTACATCCTTGAGAATGAGTTTTATCATTAATTAAGGAAGCACCCAAGAAAACAAGCAATGGACATGGACACTTAGGCAAAACTAAAACTTAAGTGACCTAAGAATATCCTCCACTTAATACACTGAAACAAAATAAATGTTTGAGAACAAGTTTTACTGTTAACTCTCATAATACAACTTTGAGGACAGAGGTCCTCCATGAGAAGTTAGTATACAATGACTCCTTACAGAACTAATGTCCTCAAGAATCCTTGACCTGATTGTTGAGAGACAGTTAACTACTGTTACTTTTTACTGTGTATATCTTTTTGATTTTGTTTTTTTTTTCTTTTTCCTCTGTTTTCTTTCTCTCTCTCTCTCTCATCTACCTCACACTATAGGTTGAACTCTCTATGTAAATCAGAGTTAATTATAGGTATTTTAAAGCAATTGGGATAAGATACCAGTTAAAAAAAAAGGGAGGGAATAAGAGATGGAGGAGGTAGTCTAAAACTGTAAAACAGTATAGTTATGCATACAAGCATATAGACTCACCTCTAAGGGTACAGCCTGAGAACTAATCATGGGGCTCCAAACCATAAGAATCAGTGGCATAAACACCATCTTCACTGTTACAATGATCAATTTAAGTGTTAAAGGCAACAGATGGATTTGTCTAAGTTTAAAAGGGACAACATAAATAACATCAAATACCAAGAAAAAATAATAGAATTAAAAAAGGAAGGAGGGACCAACATGGGAAGCAGTGCACACAGTAGACTCCTAGAATGACTTTCGCAGTAAATAACACTCTGACCTCAGAATCAACCCATAAGGCTTCCTGGTCAGGCTGAAAGGCCTGCAAGAGCATCTCAGGCATGGAAAGACAAGACTCTGTGGGAAAAAAAAAAAAAAAAAACCCTACATGGAGGATCTCTGCGAGACCTCAGAGGAAAGGAAGGGTCACCAAAGCAGGAGACACTCTTCTCTGAAGGGATAGGAGAACATCCTCTTTGCTTATGGTCGTGTCCAAATAACGACAGAGTCTATGGTCACAAAAGACCTCCATAGCCCCAGCAGCTCACGACAAGAACCCCGGATGATCACTGACATCATAAAAAAAAAAAAAAAAAAAAAAAAAAAAAAAAAAAGAGTGTTAATTGTTAAAGGAATAACAGTAGTCACTATGCTTGTTCCCCAGGTAGGACCTCTGTCCCTATTGAATTGCAATATGAGAATTGACTGCAAATTCTCTCCCCAGACTGTACTCTATATGTTATGTGTGGGCATGGGGGCAAATTGTTGAAATCTGTGATTAGCATAGAGATGGTCCTCTATATATAAAGTCATACTAAAAATGATCCATAATGAAGAAGGAGATGGGAGAGGGAATGGGAGGTGGGAAGGGAGAGGGATGGGGGCATGAGGGAAAGAACCACTGTATTCCTAAAGTTGTATCTATGTAAAGATGCATTCATTAAATAAAAAAAAGTATACAGTGACTCCTGTTGTTAATTTAACAATTAACACTCATATATATGACATCAGTGATCATTTAAGGCTCTTGATATGAGCTGCCTTGGCTATGGAAGCCTTTTGAATCCAAAAACTCTGTCAGTATTTAGACAAGGCCACAAGCAAAGTGGAAGTTCTCTCCTCCCTCCAGAGATGACGACTTTTCACTGGGGTCTTACCCATAGAGGTCCTTCATATAGGACATTTTTTGCCACAGTGTCTTGGCTTTCCATGCCTGAAATGCTTTCATGGGCTTTTCAGCCAGAGTAGAATGCCTTAAGGGCTGATTCTGAGGTCAAAGTGCTACTTAAAGAGATTGTCACTCTATGAGTCTGCTGTATGGACTGCTTCCCATGTTGGAGCATTCACTCCTTTTTAATTCTACTGTTATTACCAGACACTTAATCCCATTTGTATGATCACTTTAACACTTGATCCTATCCATATGATCACTTTAACACTTAAGGTGGTATTTTTACCACCCAGCTTAAGGGAAATTGGGGTCCCATGGCAAGTTTTTAAACTGTATCCTTAGAAGTAAGTCTATAGGAATGCACGCAGAACTATACAGCTTTATAGTTACAAACTTCATACACTTCATAATTACAACTTTAGGAACATGGTGATTTTTCCCACTGAGCCTGCCCTCCCACCCATATTCCCACCCCTCTTCCTCCTCCCTCTCTTATTCCCAGTCTTATTTTTTTACCAAGATCCTAAATAAATATATCTTTTTAAAAAATAACAATATAAAATTTGTCTTTAAGAAGTTCCATTATCAATAACATAACATCCATAAAACAGGACATAAAATAATTAAATTGAAATTGTAACCATATAGCTATATCCCCAGCTGTCCCTCCCCAAATAAGAAAAGAAATGGTTTTCAAATCTAACTTTTGGAATTAGTAAAAAAGGAAATCAAGAAATGTATAGTACAGAATATAAATAGTATGTTTAGCAATTTTCTTTGTGTTGGTAAACTCACGTTATTGTGAAGTAGTCTTTCAATGTACACTGAAAAAATATTTATTTATCATTTAAAATTACTGTAAAATCAATAGGCAAAAATTCAAATTCCAACAGTTTTCTAAGGTTCACAAACCTTTAAGCTGAGTATCAGACAATGCAAGAGAAATGCCATCATCATCTCTCCGCTTTTCTTTAGTGTGTGCAGCCTGCTTTGTAGAAATGTTATCTAATGTCTTACTTGGTTGCAAACCCCTGCAAAACAGAATTGAATTATACTCAATTCTAATAAAGCACAAATGAATCTGAAAAAGTCAGGGCATGTATTCAAAATAAAAATCTAAGGATACAAACACATTTCTATATGGTAAATCATTTAATATGGACAGAAAAGAATACTGAACTCAAAGAGGAGAAATAATTTCCCATCTATGCTATATCTTTTTTTTGCTATATCTTTTAATTTCCCACTTATCTTTGGAGGAAAAGATAGGATATTCATATTGCAAGAGTGTGTACATGCAAAATGCCCAAGAGAGTAATACTACACAAGTATTAAATTATTAGAGGTTTAAAAGGTAAAATTTCAAATATACAGGTACACTGATAAACCAATGTATAATCAAATAATTATAAGCCTAAGTTGATTGTTAATAGATTTCAAGTTGATTCACATATCTAAAGGTAAGCACAAAATTTGAACTGTGGCTACAAATTTTAACCACAGAGTCTTGGTATCTAAAGTGCTCTTTAAACACCTAAGATACAAGACTGAGTGAAAACAAGATTTGGAATGATAAGTTCAACACCACTTCTGAACTTAAAAATTCAGAAATACAAACACTGTATACTGTATAAATATATGATATATTAAGTAAAATATAAAAAAATTGAGCTGGAAAGACTGAAAACTATTTATATAGTGGATAACTCTAAGGAAGGAGGGTAACAGACTCAGAAATTAAATAGAAATGAGGTCATGACTTCCTGTAATATTACTTTAAAAACACATAGAAACAACTGTCAAATAATTAATAGAAATATTAGTTAAATATGATATTTAACACATTGGGTTATTATTCTTTGCATTTATTATATATTTTAAATAAGTTATAATTTTAAAAACAAGGTATTCACAAAATAACATGTATAAAGAGGTATAAAGACAAAAAACACGTACCGCTGTGTTATGAGAGAAATGATTAAGAATATTAAACAGAGTATATTATACATAAAAATGCTATAGTACTAAACATTACCAAGAGAGTGTCACTGCTAAAGTGATAGTTATTACCGCTATTATACTGATCATGCTGTTCATATTTACTTTGGTACAATTTTCTTCACTTTTAGATTGGAAGTTAAAAGGCCAAATATTCAAATTCTAAGACTCAATCAGTTTTACTTACAAACATGTTTTGTCTGAGTCAAATCATGCCACTTCTCAGCACTCAAGAATCATTCTTGAAGGATTGGACATGTAAGTAGTACTATATCTTACAATTTTATATATTGAAGATGAAAGCCCAAGGACAAGTCATAGATGTTATAAATAAAGAGAGAATATGATCTAAATGATAAAAAGATGTTATAAATATAGATGTTATAAATAAAGAGAGAATATGATCTAAATGATAAAAAGATGAAATAATCAGGTATCCATGTTTGAAATTGAAAGAATTTGTCACCACTCATCTACCCTTACAAAAGGTGCTCACAAAAACAGAAAAAGACAGTCATTATTATGACAGAACGTGAAGGCAGAAAATCTCCTAGTAGGGGCTAGCACTGTGGCATAGTGGGTCAACCTGCCACCCTCAGTGCCAGCATCCCATATGGGCACTGGTTATAGTCCCAGCTGCTCTTCTTCTGATCCAGCTTGCTGCTATGGCCTGAGAAAGCAGCAGAACATTGTCCAAGTCCTTGGGCCCCTGCATCCACATGGGAGGCCCAGAAGAAGCTCCTGGCTCCTTGCTTTACATTGGCATGGCTCCGGCTGTTGCAGCCATTTCGGGAGTGAACCAGCAGATAAAAGACCTTACTCACTCACTCTCTCTCTCTCTCTCTCTCTCTGCCTCTGCCTCTCTGTAATTCTGCCTTTCAAATAAATAAATAAAACTTTAAATTAAAAAAAAAAAACAGGAAGAAAAAGAAAATTTCCTATGAAAAATACAAAGGAAGTTCAAAACAAATAATAGAAATATTTATGGAAAAGTGGCAGGAAGAAGTCATTGTCTATCAATATAACCTTGAATGTAAATGGCTGTAAATTCTCCAATTAAAAGATACAGACTGGCTGAATGGCGTGCAAGTAACACATATAACGAAAAAGAGACACACAGACTGAAAGTGAAAGGTTGGAAAAAAAAATATTCCATGCTAACAGAACATAAGAAACAGCATGAGTAACCATCCTAATCAGACAAAATAGATTTTAACACAAAGAAGGGTATAATGTAATGATTAAGGGATCAATTCAATAGAAAGATGTAACTACAGTAAATGTATAAGCACCCAATGCCAGGATGCCAGGCTATTTAAAACAAATATTAATGGATTCAAAGGGAGACATAAACTCTAATGCAATAATGGGGGACATCAATACCACACTTTCATCAATGGACAGATTGACTAGACAAAAAATCAACAAACAACAGAGTTAGCCTATATTATGGAAGAAATGGACTTAATTGATATTTACAAAACATTTCATTCCACAGCTACAGAATACCTGTTCTTTTCATTAGTGCATGGAACTTTTTCTAGGATAAGACCATATGCTAGGCCCTAAGGCAAGTATCAACAAAATAAAAAAAATTGAATACCATATATTTTTTCTGAACACAATGAAATGAAGCTGGAAATTACCACTTGAGAAACTCTAGAAAATAAGCAATCACATGGAGACTGAACACTCTCCTGAACAATCAGTCATAGAAGAAATCAAAAGGAAAATCAAAAAAATTCTTAGAAACAAACGACAATGAAACACAACAAATCAAAACTTATGGGTACAGCAAAATCAGTATTAAGAGGGAAGCTTATAGCAATTGGTGCCTACATCAAGATATTCAAAAGGCATCAAATAAATGGTTCTAACAATGCATCTATGGATCTAGAAAAACAAGAACAAACCAAACCCCAAATTAGAATTAGTGTGAGGAAAAATATGATTAAAATTAGAAAAGAAATAAACAAAATTGAAACCAAAAAAGAGACACAAAATATCAGTGAAATGAAGAAAAAAAAATTTTTTTGACAGGCAGAGTGGACAGTGAGAGATAGACAGAGAGAAAGGTCTTCCTTTACCGTTGGTTCACCCTCCAATGGCCGCTGAGCATGCCGGCACTCCGCGCTGATCCGAAGCCAGGAACCAGGTGCTTCTCCTGGTCTCCCATGTGGGTGCAGGGCCCAAGGATTTGGGCCATCCTCCACTGCACTCCTGGGCCACAGCAGAGAACTGAACTGGAAAAGGGGCAACCGGGACAGAATCCGGCGCCCTGACCGGGACTAGAACCCAGGTGCCGGCGCCAAAGGCGGAGGATTAGCCTATTGAGCTATGGCGCCAGCCGAAAAAAAAAATTATTATTTTTTTTTTTGATAGGTAGAGTGGACAGTGAGAGAGAGAGAGAGAAAGGTCTTCCTTTGCCGTTGGTTCACCCTCCAATGGCCGCCGTGGCCCGCGCGTTGCGGCCGGCGCACTGCGCTGATCCGATGGCAGGAGCCAGGAGCCAGGTGCTTTTCCTGGTCTCCCATGGGGTGCAGGGCCCAAGCACTTGGGCCATCCTCCACTGCACTCCCTGGCCACAGCAGAGGGCTGGCCTGGAAGAGGGGCAACCGGGACAGAATCCGGCGCCCCGACCGGGACTAGAACCCGGTGTGCCGGCGCCGCTAGGCGGAGGATTAGCCTAGTGAGCCGCGGCGCCGGCCTGAAAAAAAAATTTTTTTAAGAAAAAAATTGACCCACCATTGGTCCAACTAGCCAAAAAAAGAAAAAAAAAAAGGGAGAAGACCCAAACTAATAAAATCAGAGATGAAAAGGATATTACAACAGATGCCACAGAATAAAAATATCATCAGGAATAACTCCAGATAGCTATATGCTAACAAACTGGAAAATCTAGAAGCAATGGGTAGATTCCTGCATACATACAATCTATCAAAATTGTGTCATGAAGACACAGAAAACTTAACTAGACCAATAATCAAGACAGAGGTTGAGGTTGAATCCGCAATAAAGACCCTCCCACGAGGAAAAAAAAAAAAAAAAGCCCAGGACTAGATGGTTTCACTGCTGAACTCTACCAGACATTTAAAGGAAAAAATAACTCCAATTCTTCTGAATTATTCGAAACAACTGAAAGGGAGGGAATCCTCCCAAACTCCTTCTATGAGACTAGCATCACTTTAATTCCAAAACTAGAAAAAAATAGAACAATGAGAAATATACACCAATATCCCTGATGACCACAGATGTAAAATCCTCCACAAAATACTACCTGATCGAATCCAACAACATATCAGAAAGATCATTTACCTCTATTAAGTAGGATTTACCACTGGTATACAGGGATGGTTCAACGTACACAAAGCAACAAATGTGATACATCAAATTAACAAATTGAAGAATAAAAACCATATGATTATCTCCATACATGCATAGAAAGCACTTGATAAAATATGACATCCTTTCATGTTGAAAACCTTAAGCAAACTGGTTACATAGGAACATTCCTTAACACATTCAAGGCAATATATGACAAACCCAAAGCCAGCATCATATTGAAGAGGAAAAATTGGAAGCATTTCCACTAAGATTGGGAAGCAGGCAAGGATGCCTACATTCACCGCTGCTATTCAATATAATTAAGGAACTTTTAGCCAATGCCATTAGGAAAGAAAAATAAGTCAAAGTGATACAAATTGAAAAGGAGGAAGTCAAATTATCCCTTTTTGCAGATGAGATGATTCTATATATAGGGGAATCAAAAGAATACACTATGAGGACACTGGAACTCTTAAGAGTTTGGTAAAGTTGTACTATATAAAATCAACACACATAAATCAGTATTCATTATATACACAAACAATGCCATGTCTGAGAAAGAAATTGTAAGATTCACAATAACTACAAACAAATTTTAAGTACCTTGGAATAAATTTAACTAAGGATGTGAAAGATCCCTAAAATAAAAATTACAAAGCATTAAAGAAAGAAAGTGAAGACACAAAAAATGGAAAAATATTTCATGTTC